TTGATCCTGTGTTCCTTCGTTATGGATTTCTTCTTCCATGTTTGGATCGACGTGCTTACCACCCTCACTAGGGATGTCGTCCTCGATCTTTTCTTTCTGCCCGTCGTTGGCCATCTATTCTCCTTACGTTCCCACAGACGGCGCCAAATTGTGGGTGTTGATTTTTTACCACATAGCCAAACGGGGAACTCAACTGGAGAGCACCGACAGAATAGATTAAGCCAAAACAACCTATCATAGAAATATAAGAATTCGGCGGTGGTTCGTCCAACCGGGGGCACTTCGATGCTCAAGTTAGTAATTAAATATCTCTCAAAGATAGCAAATTGTGCTTAAACTCACCAGAAAGAACTTATCTCAAACTCACGAGGGTGCCCTACTTTTATAACCAGGACTGACCTGATCCCTGTAGAGGCCCAACTTCAATGGACTCAGGCTTAATTCTCATCTTGGACTCTCAGCTAGATAGGAATAAACTCCCTAAGAGTTTTATCTTTATCTAAACTGAGACCCTCCCCTGTTCTAAGACTCTTGTCCCTTATCTGCTCATTTCGGATTTCGGCATTTTCGCGGGTAACCTTGGCCTAGTCGATATAACCTCGGCGCTAGGATTAGGCCACGTGGCACCTCAGCTGACACTCCGGCGTTACCTTGGTCATGTTCTGTAATTTACAAAATATGTCCCCATATTTAGTATATAATCTGATATGTCAATGTTACATTAGAAATAGACCTGATTAATAAGATTCATTATACCAACCATGTACTGATACATGAGAATGTATACTAAATATGAGATACAAAAAGTAATAAATGTAGAATTTCTTATTTAAAATATAACAAGAGTTATGTTAGGAATCCCAAATAAGTTACCAAACAAATTACCAAACTTCTCACGTAGGTGTAGGACCCACTCAAATCACATGTGTGTGGATCCCACACTCTTGTGAAAGGTTTGATAATTTATTTGGGATCCATAACATTTTCCATATAACAATATCATAAATTCAAAATTTTATTTAAAAACACAATGACTCAAATTCTTTTTATACGTGAACCCTACTATACATGAACTAAATTTCAACCACACATTTACTTTTCAAATAATTTGTACCCAAGTTATGAATTCTGAATTTGTAGAGTTTCTCTTTAAAATATGACCCACCCTATACCAAAATGAATTGCAATCTCACGGTTTGTTTATAACTGGTTACAGTGCGAACCATAAAGACATGACACGCAAACCTTTTTTTGTAGAGTTTCTCCCATCTTTTTTTCTTCTCCCTTGCCTCCTTTTGTTTTGAGTCCTCAAAAAAAATGTTCCGCTTCATGAAACAAATATAATGTACTTTTGAATTAGTTTATTAATATTCTATCACTCCTGTTATGCACGGAATAATTATAAATATTTATATTTATTTTAAATTTTTTTAATATATATTATAATTTTTAAAAAATTTTATGAAAATAATTTAACAATCTTATCACTAATCATAATGTATGAGAGAAGTTGAAAAGGGTACTGCACTAACTGTACACGGATTGTATCTATTATTATTTGTTTGAGGGGATTTTAAATGCTAATCAGGAAATTTTAACCAAATCAATAAATGCAGGCATGTGAAAAGACACATAGATTGAAAAAAGTTAATAAATGCTGATCTGGAGATTTTAACCAAACCAATAAATGCTGAGTTTTTTTTTTTTTCTAATAAGAAATTTAGAAAATTCAGATTGGGATATCGAAACTCCAACAGGCCTTGGGGTTAAAAACCCCTTTTTGCTTAATATATAGTATACTAGCCTATCACCCTTGCTATGCATGGGATAATTATAAATATTTATGTTTGTTTTAGATTTTTTTTAAAATGTTAATTATGTTTTTAAAGATTTTTTATAACAATAATTTAACAATCTTATAACTAACCATAATGTATGGGAGAAGTTGAAAATGATATCTATAATTATTTGTATGGGGGGATTTTAAATGCTGATCAATGGATTTTGACCAAATCAATAAATGCAGGTATGTGGAAATACATGTGGATTAAAAAAAATTAATAAATGTTGATTAGGAGATTTTGACCAAATCAATAAATGCTGAGTTTTTTTTTTTAATAAAAAATTTAGAAAATTCAGATTGGGATATTGAAACTCCCACAGGCCTTGGGGTTAAAAAACCCCCTTATATATTATACAATTATATATATGGGTAAATTACATTGATACTCTCTGAGGTTTATGTTTATTACAGTTTCTATTTCACTTTTTGAAAATTACATCCTCTCTCTGAGGTTTAAAGTTTCATTACAGATTGCCCCCTAAGGTTTAAAGTTTCATAATAGTTCCCCCCTCACCGTAATGATCATCATAAATAAAATTAAATTAACAGGGGGATCAGTGCAATTTCCCAAATATGAGGGGGTGAACTGCAATAAACATAAATCTCAAGAGGTGTCAGTAAAATTTACCCTATATATATTAAGTTATAACTTATTAATCATAGAGTACTATAAGATAAAATTAAATCTATATTATTTACAAATTAAGATTTTAAAATTAAAATATATTTACATTAAGGTAAGTTACTTTTCTTATTTTGTTATCTATCATACTAGTTTATTTTTTAAAGTTTCATAAAATCTAGCATTACTTTTTCAAAAATAGTTTTGAGTTTTTATTTTTTTTTATATTTTGTTGTTTTTAGTAAACTTTTTTTGTATTTTAGTTAATTATTATTTTTTTTACTTTTTAGATGCAACTAATATAAATATAATTAAAAAGTAATTTTTTTGTGAATACATCAAAAAATATATATATATATATAAAAATGTACTTAGGATGTAAGAAAAATAGAAAAAATCGATCAAATTGATTGAACCAGATCAAATCAGTAACATTTAGTCTTTTTTTTTAACAAGAATCGGTCTGTACAGTTTTTAAATTTGATTTTTTTTGATTTTCGGTTTAGTATCGGTTCAAATATCTTATATACCGAAGTAAACTGAAACCGACCATTTCAACATATATTGTATTTATAATATATACAATCTAATAATATAAGGATATTAATAAGTATAATAAATTATTAACCTTAATTAATTAATCTTATCATCTTTATAACCTAAGTTTATAAACTCTTATTATATATAATCTTAACTTATTATTCTTGAAATCTTAGTATTTTTTAACTTTTTTTGTTTTTATTTTTATTAATTGAAAAGTATTTATTAAATGAATGGATTGGATAGGTCTGAAATGATGAACAAATAACTAATTTAATGTTTTTATATAGTTTAATGATTATATTTAAAAGTGATTCAAGTTTGAAAGGTCATAGACTGATTAAACCACACCCAATCAAATAGTTTCAATCGGTTCAGTCGGTGTGGTTTCGTAGAAGAAGTGGTATATATTGGTGTTCAAAATAATAAAACCAACATTACCGGTTCGGTGAAATTTTTTACCTAAATACCGACTGTACCGAACCAATTACATCCCTAAATGCATTGCTTATTTATTTATTTATATTCTTTCGAATATAGTGAATTTTTAACACATTTCTTGATAAATTTTATACTTTTTAAATATATTTAGATTAAAATAATAAAAAAAATTTAAAAAATAAAAATATTAAAAAAATATCACTAAAAATCTCTCATTCCAATCACTCATAATATGGGACTTACACATGTATGAATACCCACATACATCAAGAGTCAAGATCAAATTAGAGGTCATGAAACCCCCAAAGAGAGGTTCCTAAACATTTTTGTTATCCGTTATCTATTTATATGAACATCATTAATGTTTTAGAGCATTGGTAGAAATTAAAAACAAAAATGATATATAAATTTATTTTTTAGATTTAGTGATATGTTAAAAAAATAATTAGTTAATAATTAGAGAATATTTAATTATCAATTAATTATTTTTTTTAACATATTATCGAGTCTAGATAAAATGAGTTTAACTTTTAGATATGATAATTAGAGAATATTTAATTTTCAAATATTTTATATAATAATATTAAGGTGAGTGTGAAACTCATACTATTTAAGACTCACACTAGGTGAGCATTATGTAAAATTTTTGATTTTTTTTTTTAATTTCAAACCTTTTTTAGATTTTTTTTTTTAAAAAAAAAAAGTATGTTAATGTGTTATATGACAAAATTTGATGAAAATGAGAAACAATTCTAGAACTAACAATCTCTAAAAATATATTTTACAAAAATAGTTAAAGATCATATTTTGACAAATGAAAAAATTTCACTTTTAATAGAAGTGTGATAAAAAAAATTAAATTGATATTTTAATCACACTTAATTTGATTGAGTATAATAATATTTATTTTTTATGTCACTTTTTAATTAAGTGTGATGGTATATATATATATATATTTTTTAATCACACCTAATACTTCAAGATCACACAAGAAGAATTAAAAATATTTCACTTTTTTTAAAAGTCTGATTAAAAAAATTTTAATCACACTTAATTTAATTAAATGTAATAATATTTATTTTTTATCTCATTTGGTAAATTAGTGTGTGTTTGGAAATGAGAAACAATTCTAGAACTAACAATCTCTAAAAATATATTTTACAAAAATAGTTAAAGATCATATTTTGACAAATGAAAAAATTTCACTTTTAATAGAAGTGTGATAAAAAAAATTAAATTGATATTTTAATCACACTTAATTTGATTGAGTATAATAATATTTATTTTTTATGTCACTTTTTAATTAAGTGTGATTGTATATATATATATATTTTAATCACACCTAATACTTCAAGATCACACAAGAAGAATTAAAAATATTTCACTTTTTTTAAAAGTCTGATTAAAAAAATTTTGATCACACTTAATTTAATTAAATGTAATAATATTTATTTTTTATCTCATTTGGTAAATAAGTGTGATTATATAAGTGTATATAAAAAAAGTGAGATCGTATATATCTTTAAATATTGTTTTTATATAAAAATATGTACACGATTCTCAGCACAGAGGCACGACTCCTTCCCTTCCACAGAAGATTGAATTCCCAAACATGTCACTCTTCCTTTCCAATTCACTTTGCCTCTCTTTCTGATTCATTAGCCTTAATTCGGTTTCCACCTCCAAAATCACCATTGTTACTCACTCAACAACCACCATGGAAGTTTGTCTTTTGAAATCAACAACCTCTTCAAACTTCTGGTGAGTTCTCTGTGTTTTTTATACCCCTTTCGTATGTCATTCATGAGGTATGCTTGTATATATTTATGATTATGATTATTATTAGATGAATTATATAAATATAGCGTTTCATTGTGAATGAGGGTTTTGGGTTGTGCCAGAAAATAGGTACTCTGTTTGATTGGTGGGTGGGTTTCCTTGCCATTTCAATGTCCTTTGGTGGGTGGGTTCCAATTCACTGCCTCTACGATTTCCTCTTCGCATCTACTCTTCACTTCCTTCATAATGTTTCCTATCGATGTTGTTTGCTACAAATTCAGCAGCTTTTCCCCTTCATGCCCATTAAGAACACCAAAGAAAGCCTGTAATAATAGAAGATAAAAAAAAAGTACTGTCATACAACCCTCTTTTTATTTGTATTTTTTGTTTACACGTATTCTACAAGTGTTTCTACAAGTTTCTAAGTTATATAAAAATTTCCTTGATTCTTTTTTTTTGGTTTGCCAATTTTTCTCTTTTCATTTCAAAGTTAAAACATTAATGGCCTTGTGTGAGAAGTGGGCTATTTTAGTAAGCTATTTTAATTTTTAAATATTTTAATAGGCTAAAATATTTGTATTTGTGTTTGGGAAGATGGTTGGATTTTTTTTTATAGTTAAATGTGATGTTTGTGAGAAAAAAGTAAAATGATTATGAGTTTGATGTAATATTTTGTCTTATTAGCTATATAACCTATTTTGCATTTTTGTGAATTTTAACCCAAAAAAAAATTAAAAAAAAAAAAAAAAAAAACACTAATTTTTGGCTTCTCAAACACCCCCAATAATAGATTAGCAAAATAAACCAAGTCCTCCAAAAATTCTTGATAGTGAAATTTTAGAATCATTACCAATTACTTGAAATATATTCTACTAGAAGTATGGGCACACACATAGGAGTTTAAAATAATTATATTAGTTATTTGTGGCAGTTAAAATATAACAGAGTAGTTTAGATATACAAAAGTGCCTACACCCCTCTTTTTATAAATTTAATTTAATTTTTTATTTGGTTATTTCACTAATTTATGATTATGATTATTATTAGTAGAATTTTATAGATATAAGTTTTCATTGTGAATGAGGGTCTTGGGTGGTAATGATACGTGTTCTGTAAATCAAAGTCGAAATTGATAAGGTTTTTGTTGATGGTTGGTGGGCTTTACAGGAGGTGGGTCTATGCTAGTTGCTTTGTAGAATATGCAACTGCATTACACTAGTGACTATACATATATATATATATATATATGTAAATATATGTATAATATATTTATTTGACACCAGAACAATATCTGGGAAAAGGGAAGGACCCACATACTTTCAACTATACATATATAAGCATATGGTGGAGAATTGGAGAGAGAGAACCATAGAGGTTTTATATGTAAAGTGGGTTTTTGAATTGGGTTGTTTTGTATTATCAGAGAAGTTGAAAATATTTCAAGTTTTCATACTGTGTTCTGCAATTCTAATCTTATAAAGCTTCATAGAGCCTTTGAAGTACTGTCATGAACAACATAGCAGCTAAAACCCCTCTCTCTCTCTATATATGTGTGTGTGTGTGTGTGTGTGTTTGTATGTGTACAATTGGGTAGGTACAAGAAGAGGAGACACATCCTATCCTAGTGTGTCCTTGCCATAACCGACCATTGAATTCTTGTCAACCCATTGAATTCTATAATTTGATTTTATTTTTGCTTGTGAAAAATTCTTAAACATAAGTTTCCAAAACACAAGCAAATTATTGTGTGCTTTAACAGTGTGTTTCCTTATGAGGTGAGGGGAACATAATATATTGTAGTTTATCACTCAATTGAAAAAAAATAAAAAATTTATTTGTCACACCTCAGATATTTATGCATCTTGGTGTGTGTGTATATGTATGATGGTTTTGCTTTTTCTTGTGAAATTTGTGAGAGAATGAATTCTTGTTGAAGCATCTTTAATATGCACATTATTATTGTTTTGTGGAGCAGGCAATTGTCAAGGATCCCATTCTATCAAGGTGCAAAATTATTGCAGAACCTTGGGACTGTGAAGGCCTTTATTTTGTTGGTAGATTTCCAAATTGGGATCGGTAACTCTTGTTTAACAGTTTCCCTTTTTTTAGAGTACATTTAACATGAATCATGTAGTAGTGCAAAGAATGTTGATCCTTGCATTAGTGCTCTAGGCATCAGGGAAAAAAAAATTCATTGATCTATATCTAGAAAATTCTGTAGGTCCCATGTCACTTCATCTGGCCACATAAACTATATAGTTGGAAAGGTGAACCACTACGTTAGGGTTACTACCAAGCCCCTTCTTTAACAGACTTCGATTCCAGTATTCAGCTATTGAAAATAGAGTGCACAAATCACATGGTGTCACACTTTTGGATCATATGAAAATTGGTGGAACTTTAATCTAAGAAACTTCCTTTCAATCCATGTAATTTACTTGTTGAGATGAAATTGGATGCACTCTTTACAAATTAATGATATCGATAATAAAACTTGTTTATGATTGGTATCATTTTTGTGGGTTAAAATGGAATGGGACCTCAATGTGTATGGCTAAAAAATACACATTTTCTAAGTGATGGAATCATGCCCCCTTTCTTGTTATGGGCAAGAAGCATATGCCAAAGTTAAGACATTGCTTTTAGAACAGTTTGAAAGATTGCTTTTAGAAGCATTCATGATGCATAATCAAAGCAGAGGAAATGACATTTTGGTCTAAAGTTAGTTGTCTTTTTATTTATATGATTGGAAAGGCAAACTTCTTTGACGACCAAAGTGTGGATTATTTGTTCAGCTTCATGGGCTATTGCAAGATGCACACTTTAATGAGATCACACAGCTCTTCAATGCCTGTATACTTGTTATTGAATACACAATTATTATTGAATTTCAAATAGACAAAATGACTGCCATAGGAGTTGCTTTCCATATTTGTTTTTCCCCTTTCCTAAATCTCCAACCCAATCAACCAGTTCAGCGGCAACATCTTCTATGCACATCCCCTGCCTCTGCTACCACTTCCAATACACTGCCTAACCTGACTGAGGTTTAATAGCAGGTCCTGGGCAGAGTAAGACAGCCCACCTAAAAAGGAGTCAGCCCATAAAGCCACCCTAACCTTCACTACTTTACCCAACTCAACACAAGAAGGCTGCCCATTATTAAATACACAATCTTTCCTAAGTTTCCACATTGACCATAGAAATATGTCACAAGAAGTATGATCAATATAAGAAGAAATGATCCTAATTTTAAGGTTTTCATTCTCTCTCTCTAGCCAATCTCATTATCTAGACAATGTATTATAGTGCTTGATATGAAGCATAGTTCAAGTTTTAGCTATATACAGATCTGATGGTGGAAAAAAATACATTGGAGAAGAGAATTTTTTAAGTTAGTGTTTCTACAAGTCAGGATAGCAGCCATAGACTACTGAGTTAAATAATAACTAAAAGCCCCATTATTAGTTTATGAGTTGCACTATAGAGTTTTGTGTGTACTTTACATCACAATTTCCATAACCATTAAAACACTCGGCAGTTAATAAAGGTGGTTTTTTGTTTTTTTACAATGATATTTGACTAAATAAACTAAATTCTTCTCTTTTAGTTGGTTGCAAATCTGGAACATTTGTAGTGAGAGTTAGAAATGGTGTTTTATTCATGTCACTTTGATAATTTAAGTTTTAATTTTGTTAATTTCGTTCTTGGCTTCCTTTTGAATTTCTTTAGGTGGACAAGCATATCGTTGCGCCTGTGCTGCTGATCGAACAGGTTATGCTCTGTTGCACACTCTTTATGGCCAAGCTATGAAACACAATACCCAATTTTTTGTTGAATATTTTGCTCTGGATCTATTAATGGGTAGTGGTGGTATGTTAATGTCTATGCATTCTCATTTTCCTCTTAAAAGTTCTATTTATTTATTTATTTTGGGGACTATTGTTTGGCAACTGGAAGAATATGATCCTTCAAAAAATTAGGAGTTCAGTGAAAGTAAGATAAGGTTAACGTGCTTTTAATGTTTGTCCGCTTGAAGAAGAAGAAAAAAAAAATCACGGTGGAATTTGTGCAATTATGGGTTTACTAAGTTCAAAGAAGAGTATATACCAGTGAAACCTTCCTCTGCTTACATTCGAAATTTAAATTGTTGGACTGTTCATTTTATCACTCATTGTAGTTTTGCTCAACACAGAGGCTAGTAGTGTTGATTCCAAACTATAGTAATTCATGCAGTCTTTCTTACAGCCGTAATTCATAAATTCCAAGTCTACAGACTTAAAATTTGTTCTTTCTTCTGTAATGCATACTAAAAAAATTTCTGTCTAATTTATTCCCCAAGTGATTGTGTCCTGTTAATAGTTTGTTCCATGGCTGTTTGACAGCCACTCTATGATTGGAAAACATTTGAAGACAGGCATGCATTTAATAATAAATAAATACATACATATATATAGGCCAACGTATCCATGATCAAATCAGGCTTGGTTTTTTAATCGCAATTGTTACATCTTCCAGTAACTTGTTTGTTAAAATTTTATTAATGGATTTCATATTAGGTAGCTGCCAAGGAGTAATTGCGTTAAATATGGAGGATGCATGGGACTTTGCATCGGATCCGTGCTGCATCAACAATTCAAGCCACAGGGGTATTTATCTATGTTCTAAATTGTATTGGCTTCAAATCAGCAATATCTTTATGTATGTATGTATTTTGTTTTTCTCAGGGCTATGGTAGGACATACTTTTCTGTAACCTCAGCTCATACATGCACTGGTGATGGGAATGCCATGGTTGCACGTGCTGGGCTCCTTTTTCAGGTCTGTTCCCCCTTCCAAAAAGAAATCTATGGAATTAGTATTTACATTTCTAATCAACTAGTGCTTATATTTTTCTTGCAGGATCTTGAGTTTGTGCAATTCCACCCAACAGGTACATATGGTGCTGGGTGCCTCATCGCTGAAGGTTGGTGCTTCCTATAATATATAGCTTGGGGATTTATATTTAAAGAGTGCTATCTAAGTTTGATAATTGGCTATCATTTTGCTCAGCTTAACTATTCTATTTGCTTGTTTTGTTGAAAACAAAGAATTTTGCTGTATACTTTTTCCTGATTTCTTTCTGCCGCTTGTAGGATCTCGTGGTGAAGGTGGTATTCTGAGGAACAGTGAAGGTGAGCGATTTATGGAACGGTATGCCCCTACTGCCAAGGATCTTGCATCTAGAGATGTTGTTTCCAGATCTATGACTATGGAAATCCGTGAAGGTCGTGGTGTAGGTCTGATCGTATTTCTACAATCAGTCTAATGTGGAATTATAGAAATATAGAGAAGTATTGGTTTGAACTCGGGGCTGATCTCTATGAAATGTGCCTCATTAACTATGATATCCGAAAGTTATACATAATCTACTGGTCTTAGTTCAATTGATAGCCGTTAGTGGTGAAACTTTTGATACCATTTGGCAGACGGTATATGCCATTTTGTTTTTTTATTATTTATTTCTTTTTGTGCATAATTTGTATGAAAAATATTATGTCTAATTCAATGATGATACGTGCTGATTTTCTGTTCACTTATCTGATTCTTGTTTTATGCTCTAATAAACACATGATTTTCAATAGAGGACCCCATAAGGACCACATTTATCTCCACTTAAATCACTTACCTCCAGAAGTCCTCAAGGAGAGCCTTCCTGGTATCTCTGAAACTGCTGTGTGGATGTTACAAAGGAACCAATCCCTATTGTGCCTACTGTTCATTATAATATGGGTACAAACTACCATGGAGAGGTAAAAGCTAAATGTTATATGTAAAGTTGATATCATGGAATTCTGTTATTTCTGATTAAAAGATATTGTCAAGGTATTCTGTTTCCAATTGGTGAGATGATTTCTCACCAGGTAGTGACCATTAAAGGTGATGATCCAGATGTAGTGATTCCTGGACTAATGGCTGCTGGGGAGGCAGCCTGTGCATCAAGAAAATCAAGAACTCTAATGTCTTATGACAATAAGGGACAACGTGGGATCCTCTGTTCCCTTGTCCCAAAACACTCATAGGTGTTGAGTTATACATCAAGATTCCTGTTATTTGAGATTTTCACATAATTCAATAGTTGCTAGTGTTTTGGGATAGGGAGACGGAGAGATTTGCGGGCAAAGGATGATCCTTGGCCATTAGAGGCCCTCTTTGTAAATGATAATTAAGAGCATATGCAAAGCTTGTAAGCATTTTCCACTGCTAATATTACCAAAATAGATAGTAGTTCCCAAGCAACTAAACTTGTTGGATTGCACTTCTAAAGTAACTCAACTAAGAATGCATAGAATTCGAAAATTCTAGCTTGAAAACCACTGTGTTTGATTTGAACTTTCTGGATTAAGTTTTTTGAAAATTGACTTTTTTGGTTTTTGTGTTTTTTTGTTTATAGTGAATATTTTTTAAATTTTAAACATTTTTTTTACTTTTTTTGATGCAACTTACTTAGATGTATCTAAAAAGTAAAAAATTTGTGAAAAAAAATTAATAAATACATAAAAATACAAAAAATGTACTGAATTCTTGTATTTTTTTTTGTATTTTTGGTATTTAGTGAATTTTTAAAAGATTTTTTTTACAATTTTTTTTACTTTTTAGGTGTATTTATGTTAGGTGTGTCTAAAATGTAAAAAAATTGCTCAAAATATTTAAAAAATTCAGTAAAAACAAAAAAACACGAAAAATAAGAAAATAGAATTTTCTGAAAAGTGTTTTGAAAAACTGGAAACCAAACAAGATGATAATACTGGTGTATCGATAGTATAGATAAATTGTTACTGTTGAACTTGTCTTTTTATTTATATCATGCTATAGAGTTAAGATTAGAGTTTGGATTATTTAGTGAGGTTTTTGGTCCCTTTTTGTTATATTTGTATAATATTGAGCTATATATATCAGAGCTCTTTAAGGAGACTTCTGATGATTTAAAAGTTTTCTTCGACTCTAGTATTCTTTTCATTTAGTGCTAGCAGGAGGTTTTTCACTAAGTTTATTTTCAAACCTTCAACAGTGATTCAGGTATAAGACTGCTCTTGATTGCGTCAAATTTGTAGCAAATGACTAATAAGACGACATCTAAAAGGCAAACCAAAGCACCAAACTTATAGCTAATGGTGCATTTTATTTTATTTTATTTATTTTATTATTTTTACATTTTTTGTTTTGTTATGATTTTGCAGTGGCTTAAGTAGAGGAGTGCATCTGGGGTACTATGATTTAGCTGTGAGCAAGTTCTTTGCTATTTCTTGAATTTTCTAGAACTTACATTTTAACTTTTCTTGTGATCAAATTACAGGAATAATTAAGAACATTGATTATAGCAAGATACTGAAGTTCAATCATGGGAATAGCTTATGTTTTCTATAGAAAGTTATTCAGGTGAGTTCATAAAAGCCCTGAACTCTAAGATTCTTAGTTAGTAGGTGCATGAAGCCTGGCACGATATTGATAATGAGTTTATGCCCTCATGGTGTATTTTTCCAGCAACCAGATTGCATTCCTTGTTTTCTTTATAATCTATGTCTTCATTATTGTTCTGACTTTGAATTGTGCCCTAATTACATAATCCATGTGAAACCATATTAGCCATTTATTTTGAACAAACAGATTATGAAAATGTAGAAGGTATCGATGTGAATTACTTGAAAAGGTTTCAGTCAAGTTGATTGTGAATTGTTGTGCTGTCAAACTTTCACTAGTTTGAGCGTTTTTATCATTTGGAAGTGCATAAATTGTCTTCTCTGGTAAAATAACATGGAGCCCTCGACAACTCTGTGATATTCCTTGCTCTCTAATTTTGAAGAACTGTGCCTGTAGGGGATTCATATCTATTTGGGCAAATTACACAAATAGTCCTTATCAAGATTTTAAAAAGCAGCCGCAACCGTTACGTAACGCCGTTACGTAACGGTTTTGGCGGTTACCGCCACCCGTTACGGCCGCTTTTGCAGTGTGATTGAGATTCACATGTGTGTCGGCCGTAACGGCTACCGTAGCGGCTGTAACGGTGCCGTAACAGCCTGTTACGCACTGTTACGTAATGGTTCCAAACTGTTTCTTTCGAAAAAAACACAAAAAAAAGCTGAAAATGGGGGAAGAGGGGTAGAGAGAAGAGGGAAGATAAAGAGAGAAAATGAAGGAGCTAGAGATAGAGAAAGAGAAGAGGGAAGATAAAGAGCATGTTATTGATTTGTTGAAGCTGTAAGACTTATACTATTCTATTCAACTGCTATCACTCAACCATTTTGTTTGTGTGTGTCTATTTATATATTGTTTAAAAATAATAATAATAATAAGTGTGGTCATTATCTATTTGACTTGGTTAAAATATGTATATATATATATATATATATTTAGGATCTTATTTATTCTCTTATAAAGTCATTAATTATTAAAATAAAATGTAAAAAACTCAGTTTATAGCGATTTAAAAATATAAAATATATTGGATCATATTTAAAAATTTACAAAAATTGATCAATATTTATTTTTAATCCAATAAATATGATCATGAAAAAAAATATGCGTATCGGTAAGTTTTTTTCAAATTGTGTGAAAAATAAAAAAATTCACGGTTCCGGTTACTGCAACCATTACACTACGACCTTTACACCCCGCAACCACAACCGTGCTACCGCCACCGTTACGGCGACCGCAACCGCTTTTCAGAACCTTGGTCCCTATAGTTTGAGGCTTGTGTCACTTTGGTCCCTAACTTTTCAATTGTGACACATTTGATCCTGAATTTTGAATCTTGTTCCAAATAAGGACAATTGAATATATAATTAGATTTTTCAAGGGTAAAATTGTTAATTTGATAAAATATAAACTAATTTGACAAAAATAAATGTCAAACAAATATTTTTGAATTTTAAAAAATTATTTCTACCTACTAAAAATAAAATTATGTAAAATTGATAAATCTTTTAGACATTTATTTATTTTTTTACCCAATTAATTTTTATTATGTATTTGGATGATGATCATGTAAAATTAATTTAAAAAAAATTAATCATGCAATTTTTATTAATTTTACATATTTTATCATTGGTGGATAAAAATAATTTTAAAAAAATTTAAAATATATTTTTGACATTTATTTTTGTGAAATTAGTTTATATTTTATCAAATTGACGATTTTACCCTTGAAAAATCTACTAATATTTTCAATTGTCTTTATTTGGAACAAAATACAAAATTTAAAATTCAAGGTCAAATGTGTCACAATTGAAAAGTCAGTGATCAAAGTGACACAAGTCTCAAACTATAGGGACTATTAGTGTAATTAACCCTATCTATTTTGTTTCTTTGTGGATCCATGTACCTTGGCCTTGTGATCTTGTCTTGAGGTATGATGTCCTTATTTATATCGTTTTTTTAGTAAAGATATGTGGGTATGTTTTTTTCTAAAAATATTTTTGTCTAGGATAATGCTGGGAATGACTGACACGAGGGACATGTTATAAGCTGATTTATATTGTACAATCTCACGTGGACACTTTCTAGTATGCTTGGTTGGAGTATTCTGTAATGAATCATATAGCATTTGAATGTTCAACTAAATGGTGATAATGGTATGAGATCATCTGTTGATGGGCAAATTGATCTTACCTAACCTAAACAATTGTTAACGAAAGCAAATAGCTTGTTTCAAATGTGATGGACACAACGGGGTTCAAATGCTGAATATAACATATTGGAACAATATATTTGTTTTTTTGACTTTCCAATGATCTGTTCATATAGGGGTCTCTCTGTTTTGCTTTTAGCAGCATTTAGATTAAGCTTATTTGTTACAGATTATCGTGTTGTCTGTGTACATTAGCTTTGTTGATCGCAAATGCAGGTGAAACAAAGTTCGATAAATCTCAAATATTCAATGAATTCAAAGCATGACCTAGTGGATGACATAACGTTGAAGCATGTGAGAGAATCACAAGCGAACAAATGTACGACTCACAAGCATTCACGTTACATATGACTCGTCTTTACTAAATAGAAGTACCTCTACCCTCTGATATCCTGATTCTTTGGGGATTCAACATTCCTCTTATGAGATGTTGTCCTTGACTTTTAAAATTCTAAACCAACAATAATTTTTCAGGCAACTTCAGGGGATAAATCCTCTTAACAATTTTGTCTTTTTCCTTTTATTTTTCTTTGGTGGAGAGGTTGTTGGTGCTCTTTCCCCTCTTGTTATGCACATCAGATGGAATGAGTTTGTATTGTTTTGAATTCTGTTCAGTGGAAATATTATTTATAGGATGTATTTTATCAAATTGACGATTTTACCCTTGAAAAATCTAATGATATTTTCAATTGTCCTTATTTGGAACAAAATACAAAATTCAAAATTCAGGGTCAAATGTGTCACAATTGAAAAGTCAGGGACCAAAGTGACACAAGTCTTAAACTATAGGAACTATTAGTGTAATTAACCCTATCTATTTTGTTTCTTTGTGGATCCATGTACCTTGGCCTTGTGATCTTGTCTTGAGGTATGATGTCCTTATTTATATCGTTTTTTTAATAAAAATACATGGGTATGTTTTTTTCTAAAAATATTTTTGTCTAGGATAATGCTGGGAATGACTGACATGAGGGACATGTTATAAGCTGATTTATATTGTACAATCTCATGTGGACACTTTCTAGTATGCTTGGTTGGAGTATTCTGTAATGAATCATATAACATTTGAATGTTCAACTAAATGGTGATAATGGTATGAGATCATCAGTTGATGGGCAAATTGAACTTACCTAATCTAAACAATTGTTAATGAAAAGAAATAGCTTGTTTCAAATGTGATGAACACAACGGGTTCAAATAATGTATATAACATATTGGAACAATATATTTGTTTTTTTGACTCTCCAATGATCTGTTCATATATGGGTCTCTCTGTTTTGCTTTTAGTAGCATTTTTTGATTATCAATCTTTTTTCTATTAAAATTCTTGAGAAAGACAAAATCCTAATGGTCCTCAAAAGCATCATTTGTAGCTGAACAATTTCTTTTGAATATTTTGGGTAAGTAATTTTTGTTGAATATGTTCATTAACAATTATATCCGATATCTTTATTTGTTGCAGTGACAAATACGATGAGGAGTCTTTGGGCGGAACTACTGTGGCTCAAATCTTTAAGAAGTTTGGTGAGAGTTTCAATTAACATTGGATTTATGTTAAAAGTGCCTCATCATGTGATTTGTGATTTAGTCTAGGCATAGTAATCTTGTAACCTTTCTTGTCTAGCTGCTGGTTGAGAGATTGTTTTCCTTTAAGATTTTGGCCATGCATTTAAGATTTTCATTTTAAATTTATTGATTCTATTTGTATGTCATAGCTGTATGGTAATCCAAACATTTATACTAATAACAATCAAAGTGGGTTATTCTTTTTCTATTGATGCAGGAGATGAAGAATCAGTGTGATGAGAAAAGGTCTGACTGTATCTTTTGTAAGACTAAAACAGTCTCTACAAATAGTTAATTTATTCATATGCTTCTAGCGGTTTCTGAATTAATTTGTGCTTTCATTTTTCAGGTCAGAAATTTCTTGGAGAGATGCAAAATATGGTCAAAGAATTCAAGAACTTAGTTTTTCAGGTTTTTTCATTTTAATATATGTAAGCACGGTTAAAAACTTTTTATTTAATTCCTTTGTATATACTTTTGAACATTTAATTTTCATTTATAAAATATATGACGTTATTCCATTCAATATGTGTTTGTGATTTCAAGTATAATATATAGTGTGTATTACATTCTTCAAATGTGTGTACAAAAATAATATCGATTATTCTTCAAATATGTTGAACTTTTTTTTTTATCACAGGTTTTATTAGTTATTAATTACATTTAAAAGATGTGATCTAAGTGTTTATTATTACAGGTTTTATTACTTATTAATCACATTTAAAAGATGCAATCTAAATGTTATTAATCACGCTTAAAAAAATGTAATTTAAATATTATTCATTACACTTAAGAGATGTGATATAAATATTTATTATCATCTTTTAATGACACTCTGGGTGTGTGATTAAAAATGACCCCTTTTTAATCACTCTCAAATATCACACTTTGACAAAATTTAAAAGTGATTAAATAAAATACATCACACAAAAAGTGTGATCTATTTATGATTTTGTAGTATAACCATTTTTTTTTTTCAAAATTTCTCTAATTTTTTTTTTTTTGGCCAACACAATTCTCTCAAAATGTACATCTTAATTAGGAAAAATTATATAATAGTTCTGGAGTACGTCATACTCTCTTATCAATCACCATTTATTACGCCATTTCATACTCTTCAATCACATAAAACAAATAGTTAATATTCTACTTTCTTTACCAATCATACTATCATGGAGTACCACATGACCGTACTCTCCGACTACCGAATAATCCCCTCCCATTTGATGATTTTAGATTCTCAATCACGAGTTTTCTTCAGAATAGCCCATCTAACTCCTGAATAATAAGATCTTAATTAATCTACATAACCTGAAACACCGATCGGTCTAGTACGAGAAACGAAAATCAAAATGTGATACACCACATATTGCAAAATACGATATGACAATGGTAGATTTATATAAGGACGAATTATATTAACGGTCCCTGACTTAATTTGGATCTTGTGTCATTTTGGTCTCTAACTTTTCAATTGTAACACATTTGACTCTGAATTTTAAATCTTGTTCCAAATAAGGACAATTGAAGATACAATTGCTCAATTTCAAAAGCAAAATCGTTAATTTGGTAAAATATAAACTAATTTGACAAAAATAAATGTCAAAAAAATATTTTTGAATTTTAAAAAATTATTTCTATCCACTAAAGATAAAATTATGTAAAATTGATAAATCTTTTATACTTTTATTTATTTATTTATTTTCACCAATTTAATTTTTATTATGTGTTTGGGTGATGATCACGTAATGAGTGGTTGTTTTTATTTTCATTAAATTAATTTCTATTTTTCCTAAAGTCAAATATAGCCAATTCTACATTCCTATCAATGTGCATTTTAACATGTCAATGTGAATATTCACATTGTCAACGAGCCAGGCCGGGCCGGGCATATCCCGGGTCGCGGGCAAGCTTCGGGCAGCGGGCAAATTTTACACTCCTATCAATGTTAATGTTAACATGTCAATTGGAATATTCACATTGTCACCGGTCGGGTCAAGCCCGCCTCGGGCTGCGGTCGGGCTTCGGGCCGCCCACGGGCTGCGAGCCAATTTTACACTCTTATTAATGTGAATGTTAACATGTCAATGTGAATATTCACATTGTCAACGGGCCGGGTCGGGTCCGCCCTGGGCCGCTGGCCAATTTTATACTCTTATCAATGTGAATGTTAACATGTCAATGTGAATATTAACATTGTCAACAGGCCGGGCCGGGCCCTTCCAGGGCCGCCCAGGGCCGTGAGCGGGTTTTGGGTAGCCACGAGGCGCGGGCTAATTTTACACTCCTATCAATGTGAATGTTAACATGTCAATGTGAATATTCACATTGTTAACGGGCCGACCCGGGCTCGTCCCGGGCCGCGGGCGGGCATTTAGCGGCCCATAGGCCGCGGGCCAATTTTATACTCTTATCAATGTGAATGTTAACATGTCAATGTGAATATTCACATTGTCAACGGGCCAGACCAGGCCCGCCCCGGACCGCCCATGGGTCGTGGGCGGTTTCCGTGCCACCACGGGACGCGAGCTAATTTTACACTCCTATTAATGTGAATGTTAACATGTCAATGTGAATGTTAACATGTTAATGTGAATATTCACATTGTTAACGAGTTGGGCCCGCCCCGGTTCGCAGGCGGGTTTCGAGCCGCCCACAGGCCAATTTTACATTCCTACTAATGTGAATTTTAAAATATGAATGTTCATATCATAAAATTGCTAACCGTTCAAAAAATATTTATAAGTGTATCAAAATTAAATATAAAGGCATAAGTGTCCAAGAAAATAGTGTAAATCAAGAAAAATAACTTTATGGAATAAAACTATACATACGTGAGACTAAATGGGTTAAAAAAATTCTTTCATGGACTTCTTGAGTTAAAACACTTCTAAATGAAATTTATTAATAAAAATCCCATTTAATGTCATATTTATTATTGAAATGAAGGAGCACATAGAAATGAAGGAGATGAATTACGAAATCCAAAGGACAATAAATTCAAAATTGGATTGCACAAAACATTTAATTCATTCAAGACATTAAAAACATATTTAATTAAAACTTACAATTAAAACTTACAATTACAATAGCAGTAATAGCAGTACAAGGTGTTGGTTTTCACTCAGAGCTCTTGAATTTTTCAGAATATATGTTTCTAAAATTTTCAAGTCTGCCGAATGAGTTCAACTTGATTACATTATATACAAAATCAAAGAAAAGAAAAGCAACATTTGACTGATGAAAGCAGCTGGCAGCGCATGGGGTAAAGTAGATGTTGTCGGTTGCTTTCGGCTGATTGATTGAATAGTTGAGCAACTTTAAACAAAAGTTGACTGGGTGAATAGTGACGGTGAACAGTAAAAGTGAACAGTAACTTTTACTTTCGGTGGAACATGCGAATAATGGAATCAATATAAATACAAATTGGCAACTTTTCTCAAAAGAGTATTGACTGAAGCGAATTTGTATCTATATGGAATCCAATGTTGATTATGCAAATGGATCCTGGGCATCTTGAAACTCGGGCCCTGAATATTGATTAGTTGATTCTTCAGAGGAGTGAGCATGTTCTGAACCTTCTTCTGAACTGTCTGAATCGGTGGATTGGGTTTTAGCTTGATTCAAAAGTTGGTGAGCTAACTGGATCATATCTTCCTTGGATGACTTGGATTTATTCTTGGACTTGACTTTGGGCTGAGCAGGAGGTGAAATGGGCTTTGCCTTTACTTTGGACTTTGATTTGGGCTTTGATTTGGGCTTTGATTGGGCTGGCTGGGCAGCAACGGCTTTAGACTTTGATTTGAATGATTTGGGTTTGGAACCACTGGATGAGGGGCTTCCAAGGTTGACTGGAGGAAGACTGGGCTGACTTCCTTGTGTAATGGCAGCAGTTGGGTTCTGCTGGGCTTTAGCAAGAGCAGGAGTTGGAGTATACTGATCAGGCGGGAATTCTTCCTGAACAATTTCAAGGATTCTGGGCACATTGAACTTGACCCACCATTTGACTGTGTGTTGGCGAATGATGATGTTATCATCAATCCCATAGTGCCATTTGAATATCCATGGAATTTTGTATTTGAATATAAAAATTAGTAATAAGGGAAATTGTCGTTGATGAGCAGTAAATGGATAAACAGTGGCAAAATAATTAATTATTTCACAGAGATCATCAGGGAGGATATCTGAAATAGCGCCATAATGAGTCCACCATCTCAGAAACCAGGTAGGTATTTCAGATTTGAATTTTTGATCAAATGAGATGAACCAAGAATGACTGAAAGTTTCATTTTGGTACAAGAAAATCTTGAACCAAGCATCAACGTAATCATGGTAATTATATTGAATGGGATAACCAGGTAAATCACGAAGCTGGTTAGGATTACCCCATTCAACCATGGAAACAATGTTGTGAATATAAATTGAATGATATAGGATCTTGTAAGCATAGGTTCGATCCTGGATTGGTTTGATCAAAATTGAATGGTAATGGAGTAGAATGTCTTTGTAATAGGAAAGGGTTTTCTCTGGATGTGAAAGGATGAAATGGCATCCAGAGCCAAAATGGAATTTAGCAATTTCATTGATGGTTTGATTTTTTGGGTGACTGGGTTCTTTGTAGAACAGGTTAGTAACATGTGAATTGGTGTATTCAGATCGGGATGGTTTAATGGGGTTAACTGGGAATGGAGTAACTGAAACTGAGTGGCTAGATGCAAAAGGATCTGAAGCCAACGCAGATGAGTAATCAGGACGATAGGTGTTACCAAGAGTTTGGTAACGGTTGACCATTTCAAGTGAATGAGATTGGGTGACTGACTCCAAAGGAGGAGGGACAATAAGTTGATTAGGTTTACTGGAAGATGGGACCAAAGCCTTGGAGGGAGGCCTTGGACGAGACATCTGTTGAGAAAGAGACAATGATTAGCAACCAGAAAGAAGATCTAAATAATCTTGATGACGATGTAAACAGTTTTAGTTGTGAGCAAGTAAATTGCGACGGGCTTGAATTTGATGGTAATTGATATATTGGGCTCTTTTGGTGGTTGGTCTGGCTAATTTGAGGCGGTGAATACGATGGGTAAGTTGTTTAATTTGGGTTTTGAAATAGGTAATTCGTGATTTATGGTAAGAAGTAAATGGTGCAGTCATCCCTTACCCCCCTGTAAAAATTCTCGGGTGAGAAAATCAGGCAAGAAATTTTGACAACCAGGTATATAGGTAATATCAAAATAAAAAATGCTTAAAATGGATTGCCAACGGGCAAAAATTTGTTTACTAGCAAGATTTTGAACATCTTTTTCCAAAACATATTTAGCAGATTTGCAATCAACACGAAGTAAAAATTTTTGATTTAAAATATCATCTTGAAATTTTTGAATACATAAGATAGTAGAT